ATTTTGGTGTTGCCACATACCTAGTTTCTGCTACAGTATTGTGCTGTACATAATTAGTATATTACATTTGATAGATGAATGTCGGCTTATTAACTCAGGATTACAGTGAAGTACAAAAAGGCAAAGACGTTAAAGATTGAATGCGATCATGGAGAGCCACGAGATGGAACATGTTAATGCAGTCGAAAGTATTGAATTGACTGTGTTAGAAGTAGGAATGCGATATTCGGATTTGGCAACCAGTTTCTTACATTTTCTAAGAGAATCAAGACATAATAGATCGTCGAATGCCTTCATCGAGTTTCTGTTTCAAAATCCAACCCTTTTCCGAGAGTTAACGTCAGGACTCGGTCATCGAAATCATTCATCTGAATAACTTGCATTTGTGCGGTCTCGTATTTTCTGTTTATTCCAAAACTATTTATACAAAACTACTATAGTTTATATGTCTATGGTATGATCTATCGAATACGGACAGCATACCATGAACGTTTTCAAGACTTTTGGCATGGCTAGTGGCCTATCAATCCTTTTACAAAGCGATGAATAATGAGACGAATACGCGGCTGACAAACTCATTCAGTAAGCTAATGAATTATCAATTGTGGGAGACAATACCAAAAAGGATTAAAATTTCTGTTCTAACTAGATACATTACTTTTATACATAAAGCATGAGAGCTGATCAAAAGTATTATTATTTATTGTTGTGTCTTGTAACTGGATGTATAGAAACTTTCCTGAATTATCCTCTAAAAACTCAAATCAAATATCGTTCCTGAAAGTAACAAGTAACTTTCATCGACATTGAATGTCGATTCACTTGGCCCTAGACTGACGGAGTGATAACACAGATGTCATTTCATTTTTAAATAAAAATGAATTCTGTATAATGATGAGTTTAGAAGAAATCTTGTCTATGAGCCATTTCATATAAACCACAACCGCTGCATAGAGAGACTGTTCCGATGAAGTCTTCAGATGTTGTTCCATCTAAAATGCTTTGATAGAGAAAAGAGTTTTGTAAAATTTGGCGCAAGCCGTTTTGAGAAATATTGACCTGCTGAACTTTTATAGCTATTTTACGAAAAGCACTAAAAATCCTGCTAAAATCGTGATTTTGGTGCAAGTCATGATTTTATTAAAGGATCCCTAAGCGATAGAAATTATATAGAGGGCTGCATTTTTTATCAGGATACGTACTCAATGAAGTTAATCTGTGATTAAAATTTCAGCAGTGTATCATGATCTGTTCATCAGATTTGTATACCTGACTGGATGCAAATATTGATTTCGGGACCCTAAAGATGATCTTTGCTGCTAGCCATTTATGGATGGCTCAGGCTGATTTTGCTATGAAGCTGTACAATTGAAAGGATTCTTCCAACTTCTTAATCTCAGCCCTCAAACAACCTGGTATTTTAGAAGAAAACTCCATCTGAACATCGCGATTTTCATCAAAAGCCCACTTTTCGAAGAGCCCTAGAGGTTGAAAGAAACCTTCTATTGTGCTGAAATTTTTAGAAGATATACAGTGCTATAAATTCTACCTCAAATAAAAATTTCAGACCTCTATCGTATTCCTATTACGAGTTGTGAAGTACCAAATTTGCTCACAATATGAAGTGTTTCTCATTTTGGATGAGTCATAAAAAAATGAAGAGCTCTATATTTTGACCTGAAACTTATATAGCGGCTATAGCTGATAGAAATATGTAATCATAAAATATTTTAGTCCAATCGATCATTCTATTTTTGAAATATAGACTTGTCAGAACCGTGTTAACGCAGATGCTGATTTTTAGTGCTTTTCGTAAAATAGCTATAAAAGCTCAACAGGTCAATATTTCACAAAACTCTTTTCTCTATCAAAGTATTTTAGATGGAGCAACATCTGAAGGCTTCATCGGAGCAGCCTCTCTATGCAGTGGTTGTGGTTTATATGAAATGGCTCATAGACAAGAATTTAACATTTGGCTGGAAAGATGGTCTCCGTAATCAACAAATCCTGGAGATCCCACGCTGATTTCTATAAAGAATTGTAGTCGATCGAGAGTAATTTCAAACGATAAGGTCCAGCTCCCAAGGCGACCCATATCTTGGGAGATAATCCATCCTGAAAATCGACATTTTTGTCAAAAGTCCATTTTTGGAAGACCTGTTTCAGACGAATGGGTCAATCAAATTGACTGAAATTTTTGAGCACACATAGATCCTTGAGAGTTCTATCTATAGTGGAAATTTTAGATCTCTACCGCATCCTTATCAAAAGTTATGAGAGCCAAAACGTACCGAAAAAGCTCCTTTTTCTGTATTTTTGATCCCTTATAAAAATCGAATAGTCGCATATTTCGGGACAAAAATTTTATCACAAGTAGGACTTACTGAGTTATGTCTGCACACAAAGTTTGAGTTGAATTCATAGAGCCATTATTGAGATACGGCCACATTTAGAACCCCCTTGATGAAAAGAGCAATTTTTAGGGTCTTTCGTAAAGTCTTCATAAAATACGAACGACTCAATATTTTTTCAAAACGTTTCCACAGAAGTTCGTAGAACTCTTGCCTCTATAACATATCATAAAATGAGCCCGATCTGACAACCTCGATTGAGCAGGTTCGGTCGTGACTTACGTGGATTGACTCATATGAGAAATTAGAAGAATGAGTCTTAACTAGGTTACTAGAACAACTCCAGATAATTTAAAACAGTACAAAGTTTTCGCAAAAAAATAATCAAGCTTTTTGCTAATTTCAATCCCTATTTCATTGACGAAATACTCCGATTACAGGATATCCTTACAGAAGAGGAGAAATAAATAGTACAAATATTTCGAAATTGAAAAACAAAATAATCAACAAAGTCCCACAATTTGAAGAAATTAGAGTTCTGATTGCCTACTCAGAATGAGAAAATGATGTAGCCTAAATCTCGACATATCGCCATAAAATATAGTCCTAAATTCCTCAAACTCGGAAAAAGCTCACCAGATATTTTCTCCAATATAAGAGAAAGCTGTCTGCAAATGTTCAAAAACAGGAAGGACACCATTTCCAGCTCCTTCCGATCGCGTTGCCCCTGATAGATTGCTTGTAAAAATAAGAATGAGAAATATAAAATGAATCATACCCGATGTGATTGATGATACTTTATTTGAAACTTTTTCGGGAGGTTTTGTGTATATCTTCATCGTTAATGTCAATGCAAAACATTTTCTAGATTTATGAACGACCGAAGAAGAACCCAATTCATTCGATGTGGAAAGTGGTGGTTTAACAAGGGCGATTGGTAGCGTCATTTCTTTTACTTGAATGATATGAAGATCAGGTGCAGGATTTAATTGACCCATGACTTCGAAATGTGAACCTGGCATAAGAATAGTTTTTTTTTCAGGATTTTTTGAAATATGAATGTTCTGCAACAGATTTTTCATCAATACATTCAATTGAAAACAGAGGGTGGGTGTGAGGTGTGGATCATTTTGGGTGTGGATGTGAGAATCTTCTTGAATATACTCACACCCAGTCCCACACCAACATCCACATCTTTTAATGAGTTTTATTTCTCAATCTACCCTTGTGGGGGACCAAAGCTAAATTATAAGACGAAAATAACAGCTCTAAAAAGATTCTGAAAAGTATATGAATTGACTCAATATCTCACGCTGATTTCAAATCTATCATCCTTGTCCTTAAGAGTTGGTTTAATATAAAAGAAATACACTCGAAATTAGTCAAAAAGGTGCACCGTTGGTATTGGCTGACCATTGCAGTGCACATTAGATATCTTGACTCAAAAGGAAATTAAACGAATTATATACCATTTTCTAGATCTTTATTTTCTCTATCGAATAGTGCATTAGAGGAAGCAGCTTTGCATGAAAAACAAAATTTCAACGAGTCAAATTGATACTAGATGGGTGTAGATCGGGCTTTCATCGACAGCCAAACACACACCCAAACCCACAATGTTATCCATACCGATACCTACATCCATACCCACAATCCACAGAAACACATCCATAGCCACGTCCACACATCCCACACCCATACTGCCATAGACATCGACACCGAACACCTGCACTCATACTCACACGCAAGATCGAATTGCTTCTTGATTAGCTTTATTTTAAGAAGATGTACAACCTTGATTGGGATGGGAATGGTTCCACATATCATGTAAAACGGCAATATCGGTCACAGAAACAGTTTTTCCATTACTAAGCCGTTTTCAGATCACTCGACTATGAGATTCAGGATAATATGTTGATCGAGACGATTTTCACCTGCTGAAGATCATCCATAGCTCGCCGGATATGAACCATCATACCTTCGCGCAGTAAATTAGCGACTTCCCATGGTTTCAGTACTGCATGTGACATTGTTACCAGTTGTTCACAATTGCTTTATGTCTCGTAGAGTGTTGTTGTGAGTGATTGAAGTGAATTTGAGCAGCGACGGTGAAATGTGTCCATTTCCTAGTTACATTTATATTTCGAAGGAGAGGAAGTAGTCACAAGAAAAAGTACACATCACCATAAACATTCTATGAGTAAAGATGGTTATTTCAGTGTCACTTCAAATCTCATTTCTTCCAAAATTACGTCCATTCATGTGTCACTCAACTTCGATTATTCTTGTATCATAGAGAGTTGTGAAATCAAAACATCATCACCAATCTTTTCGAAATACATTATCAATGCCACTAGAGTTTGGTGTGGATTTGATACTGTTTTCCACATCACACACATTCACATTCAAACCCACATCCTCGTTTAAGATGTGCATGTTGATGTTCATGTGAATTTTCTTTTCACCCACATGCACACTCACACATATTTTCTCGTCAAAATCAAGTCGTTTTATTTTTTCAAAAAGGAAATTCAGATCGACTGGCAATCGTCACCATGTAGTTACAACGCTGACTAAATTGTATTCAAATACGTTTAAGTTGATTTTATTGTTTTTCTCATTAATTTTAATCCAAAAACATGCGAAGAGAATTTTTCGTTATTATACATATTTATATAAAGTTAAAAAAAGAACAAAAAACAATTATTTTAATCCCTTTTCCAATTCTCAGATAACAAACAATTAACAACATAAAAAAATAAAAGAACAATATGATGTTTTGGAATTTCCGGCAATTATGTATCGAAGAAAAGAATTAAATAAAAGATCTTTAAATAGTATATATATACATGGTTTTCTTTTTTATCAATGCTTTTATTTCTTTAAACTCTATCGAAATATACTAACAGAATAACAACAAGAACTGAATTGGAGTCAGGATATCTAATCAAGTTGGCGTATTGATTATCATATGAATTGTATGATGATCATACTTGAAACCAGTTGGTTGAAATGCTTCACGTAACCGGCGGAAAATGTGCCCGCTTAATATGTGAATCAAGCAATCAGTTCTTTAAACACATACCATGCAAAATTCATATAACCTTTGGAATTTCTAATAGTAACAAATTCTATTTTAGTTTGTCACATTTTATATGTGCTAACATTTTGAAAGAATGATGTTTTTTCTTCAAAACATCTCATCTAGTAATTCACAACACACACATAATATTGAGCAACATCTATACTATGCTTTGACTGATTTTTTTACAATTGATATATTTGATCTATTCTTATTTGAAATATTTTCTAACTCTTTATTTTAGAGATAATCGCAACAGACAATGATAACTATCGATGCGTACGTCTAATAAGTATAATATTAATGCATTGCGAAACGGTCTCAATTTTTGGCAATGAAGTTTCAATTAACATCAGAACAATAAATGATTGCACCTAGATTCAGTCTTATTTTGGCGAAGGTTTTCAATATCGCTCATAATGACAACAGAGCTGTTTTGCGAAATTTATCCAAGATTAAAAAGTGTTTGTATCGTCTAGAGACATTGATCTCTCTGACAAAGTTCGAATGAACTTGTAGCGACTCGCCGTTTTCTAGATCATCGTGACACTAAGTACAAATTTTGTTGCAAAAACAAAATCCATAAAGTATGAGGACCGAATGCATACGCGATCAACATAGAAATGTTCTGGTTTGCACAACGACAATTAAAAGAATCTTTATATCTTTCTAAATAAAAAGCGTATTTTCTTTTGTAAATTCCTCATGTAAGAAAAACATAATCGTTCTATATAAATTCTATATTTTAAATTTTCATCTGACGACATCTTTTTACTTTTTTTTTGATTGGATTGATTTATCTCTACGCAGCACAGGCAATGTACGCGTACGAATGACGCATGGACTAACATTGGTGTATATTTACCGAGATTCTTTTTTTTTTAAATTTTTCTCGATGAATCGCACCATATTTTAATGAACAGAAAAAACAACAAATAATTTACATCGTCATGTTTGCGATTTGAATTGATGCACAACGTAGGTGACGAAAATGGATTGTCAATAGACAGAACGGAGAAGAAATCAGAGAGACGAAAAGAAATTTTTTATTTTATTTCATGAAACCATAAGAATCAACTTAAAGTACAATGAATATACATTCATCAGTAACTGATACAAATGGCATTATTCATCAATGGGTATTTGATTTTGAACTAACATTTTTTGATCAAAAAAAATTCTTATGGGTCGAAGATTTTATGTATAATTGGTGGTGGTTAAGTATTCCGTATACTTTATTATATATCATTGCTATATTTATTGGTCAAACATGGATGACAAAAAGAAATGAAAAATTTGAATTAAGAAAATTATTAGTTATTTGGAATACAATTCTTACAATCTTTAGTTTTTGGGGTGCATGTCGATGTATACCTGAATTTATTTATAGTTTAACTAATCATGGATTGTTATATTCAATTTGTGATCCGAGTTATAAAACAGGTATCACTGGACTTTGGTAAGTATAAGAAACAACATAGTTTTTGTGAAAACAAAAAACAACTCTATTAATTTTTATCTAGGGCCTGGTTATTTATGGCATCAAAAGTACCTGAAACATTTGATACATTATTTATTGTTTTAAGACGACAACAATTAATATTTCTTCATTGGTATCATCATGCAACAGTTCTTGTCTATTGTTTCTACAGGTAAATAATTTTTTTGTTTATTTCCTCTCTATTTCGAAATACAATGTGCTAACGGTTTTTTGAATAACTTTTGATAGGAATATCGTAGAGAGCTGCGTTTTTTATCATTCAGGACAGAAAAATCGGAGTCATTGAAGTATGTTGAAATTTAATTAGTTAGAACATGACCAAATACGTGAGTTCTAGGTGATGGTTTTCGAAAACAATATTGTCAAAAGTATTTTCCTTTCGATCTACAGACGGGAAATATTCCAAACTAGTCTATTCAAGAGATATAAGACGTTCAATTTCAGCCAATTGACATGTAATCACCGGAAAAAGTAGCTAGTCAGCGGTAATTCATCATGCTAAGTCGAATGGAGATATTTTTTAGGTCCGAACTGATGTGACACTCTTATCTCAATATTTCCAAAAATTCTACAAACAACTTCCGAGTAACGAAGCGAGTTGACATTAAAGAAATATTGAGATTACGGTGTCAAATCAATTCGAATATAAAAATAATTAACACCACTCGACTCAACATGGTCAATTATCCCTGTCTAGCTACGTTCTCAGGTGTCTACAGATCAATTGGCTAAAATTGGGAGTCTCAGAAAAAGTTTTATAACTCTCAAATGGAACTAGCTTGGACTGTTGGCCTTGTGTTGATCGAAAGAGAAATAATTTCAGCAAAGCTTTTTCAAAAATCTTCACTAAGAGCTGATCTGATCGTTCATTTGCTGACCAGTTAACTTTCGATCACTTCGGGTTTTCTATTTTGAATGATGATAACCACAAGTCTCTACAATATTTCTATCAAAGCTTACTCAAAAAACAGTCGGACAAATTAAACTTTTAGATGAATAGTAGATAGAAAAGAAAATTTCTACAAATTATTTTAAATTAATCTTTCTATTTTTGAAGTTATGCATTATTTGTTTCAACTGGTCGTTGGTTTGTATCAATGAATTATTGTGTTCATACAATAATGTACGGTTATTTTGCATTACGAGCAGCACGTATTCGTCTACCTCGATTTCTTCAACAATTTATTACTGTTTTACAATTGATTCAAATGATTATTGGTTGTTTTATTAATCTTGCTGCATTTAATTATAAACAAGATGGATATTTATGTGCTACATCAGATATAAATATTAAATTATCTTTAGCTTTGTATGCTTCTTATCTCATACTCTTTGTTCATTTTTTTTATAGAAGCTATCTTCAGAAAGATTCAATGAAAAAAAACAAATAATAAAATGGATTAATAGAACGTTTTTTTTTGTAATGAAAAAAAAATGAGTATGATTGAATCTCAAAATTCAATAAAATAAAATATGCTGAAATCATGATTTTAAAGATGTTAATATTTTACAAAAACAATTCTAAATAATAAATTTTTGTATAACAATTGAGGGTATGAAGCTATGTGTTCAGTTTACTCGTACCCACGATGTAAATACAGCAGCAAAGCATCAAATTATGCTCGAAAAGTGATAGAAATTGAGATATTAGCTGGGAATGAGAGTAATATTATTTCAATTGGAGATTGAAGAAACTGATTTTTTAGAATCTTCTGATGGAAAAATAGAACCGAAGAATTTCGAAAATCGATTAGAAATTCAGATTTGCCAGTCCCGAATATCTTTCGACCAATTTCATAGTATTACTCCCATTTCTAGCTATCATCTCAATCTATATTTCTTAGATTTTATTTGAATTTAATTTAACAATGTGGGAGTCAGTTTTCTATACTATTCTCTCTTGCTTTTAGGTTTAGAGTTAAAACAAACCTTAAATAAATCAATAGTTACAAATGTTCAAAGAGTTCTATCTTAATCATCATATCCAATTCGATTATTTTGATTCTGAAAAATTTATTTCTCGAATGATTGACATACAAATAGTTTTGCTGAATTAATGGAAATAAGCAGTATGTTGAAGAAGGTACTGCCATAATTGATAGAGTACAATTACAACAACACTAAACGAAGAAATGGTGTGATCATTGTTATCGACTCGGAAGAAGACAAGTTTTTTTTTCTAAGAAAACGGCTGATTATTCAACTTTTTGATAGATCTGAGATAGAAAAAAGATAGTAAAAAAAAAACTATCAAAGATATTAAGACTCACTTTTTTCTCAAAAACAAAGATGATCAAGTTAAGTCAAGGATATTTTTGCAATCAAAATGCAATATTAGATTCACATTACTTTTAGTCTTACTTTTGTTTCCTATCATTGAAATTCTATTTGTTAATAATATTTGAACATTTGAAATAAATGCTACGAATGATAACAACACGAAACTGCAATAGTTTTTTTCTCAGACATTAAACACAAATTTATGAAAGATGAAATTACAAACAATCTTAGTGATAATGATTCGAATAGATTTATGTTAATTAATTACTCAACTAAATACAAATCATTGATCTATTTGGCAAGAAGAGTTTTGACAATTCCTGTAATATCATCATCTATAAAAAGGAATATTTTTTCAAAGTAGTTTCCTATTTCGACAACATAGAACAAAAATCTCAAGAAATACATTAAAATATAATCAAGGATTGATCTACATTCGTTTTTCTTTCAATAAATTGATATATAACACTAACTAATGATTATCTATATCATCAATCTGTACTTGGAACCTGAACAGTTTTGTTAGAACAGGTTTCTAGACGAAGCAGTCTAAGATTTACTGCCGGATTAAATTTGTCCGATAGGAAAAAAAGTAGTATTTTCGATTTTCTTAATTATTATATCATATCTGTCACTTGTCAAAATAAAACATTTTTCTACTTTTGCAAGTAAGTTACAGTTGACAATGGTGCTCATTTGATTCTTCCAGTTATGTTTTAATGGTTCGAAACTTTTCACCATTTACCTATCAGAAAAAAATATTTTCAAACAATGCTTCTGTCGTATATATGGAATAATAAGTACTTTTGATAAACATATATATTCTTCGTTTCTTTTCTGTATGCTTTTCATTACACATTTATTGATTTGTTGATTCTCGAAGAAAAATAAATAGTAATTTGATATGTACTTATAGGCAAATGAATGAACATTGATATTATAATAAGAGAACCTAAAGAAAACTAATTCATCACTTTATATTTCGAATTATTTGTTCGTAATACGGAATAACGATGAGATGGGCAGTGTTGCTTCTCTGTCTCGTTCATCGCACCGTTTCTCTACGTACAAAACGTACATCCTTATTGGAAAAGGATTTCCATAACATTTAGGAAAAGGCTGAATTTTTGGTTAACAATGGACAAACAAACACTCTTGTATATGAAATCAAGTCTCCTTTTGGTTCTGAAGGGAGATATTTCGAAATCATAGCGCCTTCGTCGAAGAAAGTCGTAGGCAAGCTCATGAACAAAGGAAAACGTAGATGGCGTGAAGTAACATTTGAAGTATTTGATAGTCAAACTCAACATTGGAGGATGGGCAAGCTTATTCGACATTTTAAACTTTGATCGGTATGTCAAATAGATATCGAATGGAATGGACAATCAATAAGACACGTTACCCCAGAGTTCGTGTGGTATGGAACCCTTCTAAAAATAATAGTGATACCATCTTGGTTGAATTTCGAAGTGACATATGACGTATATATATACTCCAATAATATTCCGGATCCCGTTTATCTATTTCATGTCTCTAGCATCCATATGTAACCTGCGCGTCTTAGTCAAATGGCAAATAAAAGTTATAAGAACATTGTCAATTTAGTCTGCTTTGTTATTATAAAAACTAGATATGGATTTCTGAAAGTTTTCGAAAAATACTTGACGCTCATTTCAACCAATCGAAATAAATTTTTTTCTCAACTCAGACACTATATCATTTTTCAAAGTTTATAAAATTTTCATCTCGTAGTGAATAGTTCGTTCGATAGTTCTTGACTGTGAACGATTAAAAAGGTCGAAAAATGACACCAATCAGTACAGAATAGTTTCGTTTTTCAACCTTTGAGCGATTCTTTTGCAACAAGTCTTTAAAAATTAGTTTGAGTCCTTCATATATGAAAGCAATTTTTATTCTTACTATGTCTTAATAGATATTTTCTAATTAATCTCTCCCGAGACCGAAAATTTTGAACTTCTAGGAAAATAGAAAAAATGCTACATTACACGTGCAATCTCAAAAGGAAGAGAGCATCGAGAAAATTATTTCAATCATAAAATATCTGCATTTTCTTTTTTGTTTCTGACAAAAAAACGCATAGAAGTTCAGCAAAAACCTGTTTACATGTACTTTGCCAGGGAACGTTTTGAACTTTGCACAGCGTATAACTCAAGAAGGCATCATTGCATTCATTTGAAATTCCTGTTTTTGTGTACTCAAAAAGTGAGTACACTACTAAAATCGGTCTGTGTGTCCGTCCGGCCGTCCGTCCGGCCGTCCGTCCGGCCGTTTACACGATAACTTTCGAAAGGAGAGTCAGATTGCGATGAA